GGAGATAATATACTAACCATTGTTGGATTTCTGTTAGTTGGTTCTGAATACCTTGTAGTGCTTCCATTCTCTTGAATGGTTTTACACTGTCTTGTTATGTTTGATATTATAATGTATGAAGGTTTACTCAAATATTTTGACGAAAGAGACACTATGATAGCTACTGTTATGTCGGGTTGTCGTGTGTGAAAACACTATGTTGCTTAAATTGTTCTGCAGTGAGTTGTTTTATTATGTCCTCTTTAATTTTTTTTAAACAAAAAATGAAACGTAATTTGTTTTGTGGGGAAAAATATATTATAGATTTTTCTTCAAGTCATGGAATTATTTTCGTGAACTGGTTGCTTTTCTCCTTAAACATAATGACTTATCTACAGTGTGGATATAAAGAGATGCCAGAAGTGGTGACTTCTGCTGTACAGACAATCAGAGATCATAGACAGGTTTTTCCCAGCATCTTCCCTACCCCTTTGTCCTTCAGTGGAACATTGTTCTACAACTATGTTCCTCTCTGTTTCTGCCTATGCTTGTGGCCATAATGGAAGACTTAGTAATAGAAGAGGCACCAGATTCTCTGCAAGGAGAATCTTATCCTGTGGGGTGAAGGCGGATAGAAATGAAACAAGACAAAGCAAACTATGGTCACGTAACTGTGACTGAAGTGCATAGCAAGACAGGGTTGCAGTCAGGTCTGTCCTCTGCCTCTGAGGTTTGGTGTTTACTGAGAGAGTTTGGCTGTCACAGGTTAATGGCACTAATACCAGATGCAAGTAAGGCATGGAAATGAGTCAAAAAAGGATTTCATATGAATGATACACACCAAACCAAAGCCATACGAAACAAATGCAAACATACTATATTGCTAACAAACAAATGAATGAATGATGAAGGAATGCAACAATAGGAATGAATGAGCACACAAACTAACAAATCTATGGATGAATGACAAAGGGGTAGCAGGCTTTGGGAAACTGACAGGAAATAACATCCTTGGTTGTAGAAATGTAAAATCAAGGTTTGCTATGGAAACAAGGCCCACAGTGAAGGAAGCAGAGAAAAGGCTAGCAGCACAGAGGTGCCAGTCCACCCGTGTGGCCAAGTGCAGTGGAAAAACTGGGATGTGTTAATCTCAAACTCCTCATTCCCTTCAAGGAGCACTCAAGGAACTTCACCGTGCTTTCCTACCACCATGCTCAAAGAGCTCCTTAGTCCTCTTCCTTTGCTTGTTGACAGAAGACATAATTTAATTAACCATACACATTCTGATGTCTTCAGAACAACTAACACTGCTCTACCTGGAGGTAACTTAAGACCACTGGGATCTGAGGTCTCCATAAGATACATGATGACGGGTCGGTATTAGTAGTTGTCATTGATCATACAATACACACACAATAGATAACTATGCTACAGACAATTTCAAATACACCTGGAGGTGCTCCCTAGAAGGAGAGCATGCTGAAGCAGGTGGGACACATAGTGCCTCCAGGGACATCACCAGCCCAAAGCTCACTTAACCTTGGAGCTACTGCTCTAAGTATCCTGCATTCACTCCAACCAATTACATCTTAGAGTTGGGAGTCTGACTGCCTTATTGGCTGCCTCAGGCCTTCAACTGCCTGCTTTGTGACATCATCCAACTAGCAGAGCTGCCATTGGTTGGGCAAAGTTGTGGTTTCCACGGAGTTGTCCCAAGGAAGTACTGGATATCAGCCAGCGAACAACCACAAGTGCTCTTCCTACTGGACAATTGTATACTTCGGATTCAGCCACCCAGCTATCCTTCAATACTCTTTCCTTACCTTTGCCTGACTACTTGCTTTATCCTTTCTCAGACTATGTCAGGTAAGCACACCACAGTTCCCATGTCTCTGACATTACACATTCCTTCCTATCCCAAAGAAGTTGCTTAGTGCAGATCAATCACCTTGGGAACCTGGAGGATGTTCTTGAAGAGGAAATAGAAAGACGTACTTTGACTCATGGTTTGAATGTGTATAAGATTGTGCCTTAAGACGCATGGATTATCTGTGGCACCAAAAATGGTTGTTAATCTTTTCTCGGGTCTGACTTAGTACCTATGCTCTGTTCCCTTTCTTTGTTAATGAATGTTGAATATTATAGGGCACAGGAAAAGAAAATTAACCAAAGCCATGTTAAGTGTGACAGTTTCGGCATAGAGTGACATCACCACAGTCAGCTGGTTGAGAAAACTTAAGTCTGTGTCAAGGTAGTTCACCATAGACAGTGTCTCTACACTAGGGCCTCCACCTATGCAGTGACAATGACTGTTCACATGTTACAGAGGTATGAATCTGAAATGGGTGAAAACACAGTTAGCGAGACTCCAGGGCACTAGGACTGTGCTAGATCCAGAAAGATCCTTTAGAAGACATGTGTGAGGGATTGCAAGAAGCAGAAGTCAACAGAAACTGTGTAGGCCTGGGTGATTGGGGTGGAAGACAGTATACAGAATGAGAAGGGAGCATAGAAATAAAGAGAAATTGAGGAAGGGCATGGGGATGTGCACCGCAAAGGAATATCCTCTGTGGATGAGGATGAGAGGGAAACTTCACGGGGAACAAGGAATTCAGCAGACCACAGAATAAACACACAGAACAGTCTCCTCATACAAGAGCAAAGAGAGGCCGTGTGCGCAGCAAACCTTCCTTGGAAGGTGTGAGTGGGAAAGTGAGGCTGGAATTGGATTTTCCTGGGAGAGTGGGCCTCATCAGAAGTGCCACCTTCTCTGGCCTGTTGTTCCCAATTGCTCCTTCCACTCCAGAGGCCACTTCAAAATACTTGGGAGTGAATATTTTCAAAATGTGGCACATGATTCTTCCTATATGAGTAATGTCACCATCTAGAGGGCTAGGAAAATAGTTTAGAGCAGCCAATTCCATGTTGATTTTTCACTAAAGAAGTTCTATAAAATGATGTTTACTACTACTTGTGTACCAGAAAGAAAGCTTGCTTCGTGTGCTCAGCAAATTTTAGATCAGACGTGATCGTCACCTTCATAACAATTTACTCTCTAAAGCACATTGTACCCTTGGTATCAACATCATTCACCAATGTTCATGCTCAAGATCCGTTTTTCACACAGGAGAAACTAAAGAATTAGTTGGTTCCAATTAAAAAGGAAACGACAAGCCCCGCTTTTTGCATTGGAGTTTCATCTAAAGCAATTTTGGGTGCTGCTGTGAGCTCCCCTGCTTTTCAATGAATTCTTTCAGTTCCTGTTCTTCCAGGTACAGAGGAGGCTGAGGCATAATCATTGTAAGTAAAAACCCACATGGGCAAACACCAAAACATAACAGAAATAGGAAAGAACACCTGGGGATTCAGATAAGTGACAGTGTCCCAGGCTTCAGTTACAGACTCTTAAAGGGGAAACTAAACAAAAGAAATGAAAAACAAAAAGCAAAATGGTAAGGATGGTACTAAGTAATGTACTATGAACATAAAATAAGAAAGAGCAAGAAGTAATCTGTCCAAAGTAAATTAAATAATATATATCGATAGCATTTGACTTATAATTTAACAGTGTCGAGTGAAATTTTCTTCCTCTTCCCCTTTGTTTTGCACCTCTAATTCTTTTATTCCACTGCCTCCTCTTTTGTCTCAGTCTCCCTCTCTTCCTTTGTCTTTCTTTTCTTGGTGTCAGCAGTTAAATTCAGGAACATGTGCTTGCCACATACGTGCTGTGCCACTGAGTTACATCCATGGTCCAGCGACAGTTTTCTTTCTAGAAGTGAAACACACCCTGATCGCTGCAGATGACTATTTAGTAAGATGGGGAGAGAAATGGGAACTTTCCTGATTCTCTTTCAGTGTACCCTTCCCCAGTGACAACATCCACTGTGAAATCTGGCTCTTGGGATGAGTATTATTTCTAGGTGGGTGTAACAGAAACAACAGTGCATGAGCACAATCATGGAATTCACTTATATTTGTTTTGTACTCCATGCTGTGCTGGCCTTTTTTTTCTTTACGTTTGTTTTTATTCTTATTTTCTCAAGCTTTTGCCTTCTTTCAGTTTGTTTTTGAGATAAGGTCTCTATTTGTTGACCAGCCTGGGTTTGAAATAAAATTGTATACTGATAAATCTTTCTGAGAGCAGGCAACCGGGGCCAAGTACCACCACAGAGGATGTACCACTCTCAATCACCTTGTGACTAGATTTAAAATGCATAAACTTTGAATTCTCAGAAGAATACTTAATCGGTATTTGAGGCCTGTGGCACGCTTATCGCAGACAGAGTTTCCATGCTCATATTTGCTCAGGACCACTGCACTCAAGTTAGTAGGCACTAACATAGGTTCATCATGTTTCAGTTAACAAGGAAATCACATTTATTTGGCTGATGTAGCTGGTATACCAGCAGTTTCTGTATAGATCCACTATTCTTTCTCACTTGCCAACAAATTAGCAAATGAACTCTGGTATGACTCTTGGACCACATTACTTATAATGCTTCATATGCTTCTTTCACTCTGTGATCCTATAGTTCTTCACTAAATATCTCTACCTTTGCAGAGCCTGCCTTATCTTCCTTCATGTAAATTCCGTGTTGTATGTCGCTTTCAAGCATCAGTGATGTCACTGTGTTTTGTTTAGAACCACTTTGGAGATGAGTAACTTGTAAGTCAGACAGATTAAAATACATTTTTTTCTCTATGCCATTTCTGGAGAAAATGATCCTCAGGTACCCATGCAGACATAGTGTCAGAAGGTAGGTGTGCAGAAGGGAAAGATAGAGTCCTGCAATGTACCAACCAACCAGGAATATAAATGAGCCATGGGAGAAAGGGAGGGTCCTGCACCTGCACATTGAGGCACCAAAGAAGAATAGGGTAAGAGTCATACTGTCTCCAAGCAGGTGAGTAACCAAATCCCTACCAAGAGTTTCTTTCCAACTCCTTTGTGGCTTTTGTTCTCCTGACAGGGAGTCAGGTTCTATAACCTGATAATGATATTAACTGTTCGGAAACTTGAAGAAGTCCATGGGGACTCCCTGCTCTGAATGTCCTGACTCAACACCAGTAAGAGGACAAATCTCTGGAGTGGGAAAGTTTTCAAACCCAACTGTCCGGGTCATATGTCAGGGTGCGTGCAGGGATCATGGCATCAAGGACAGACGAGGGTAAGGAGAAAGAGGTAACTTAGGACCATGGAGCACCTGTGAAGGGGTGTGTGGGGTCTTCCGTGACCCACATGGCAGATACATAACTTATGAGAAGCACTGAAACCACTACATCAATTTGAGGCACAGTAATATCTTTCATTGCTCGCCTAAGACTGAAGACTGGTACCACAGGCATTCCAGGTAGAAGGACCTTAGGACAGGTAATAGTGATGCTCAAGTACACTGAGAATTTGTCAATCTCATCTGTGTTTTTGTGGCCCTCTTGCTTCCTGCAGAACATTTCCATATTCCACCATCTACTGGGACCTCCAGTGCTCAGCAGCTCTCACCTTGCATGGTGAGCAACGCTGCTTTAACACCAAGTGCCTGCAGCTCCAGCGGAGTAACACCTCCAGGCCTCAGTTCAGCAAGGCTCCCACCCTCTGCCTCTGCCAACTACTTCGAGCCAGTCATGGCCAGTACCTACATTTTCCAACACTGTAGCATAAGTAGGTTTGTAGGGGTCTCTGGCCAGAGCCAGCGGTTCACTTCGGCTTTGCCATACCCAGGCCTTTGGCAGGGGGATCAGAGGGTGAGCTCTACACACCAATATCCACCCCTCCATAACACTGCCGTGACTGTCACTGAGCAGAGCACGGTAGTGGCCTCAACACCCATGCCTGTCCGTGCTGCTGCCATGATTCCAGTATATCCATCTGCCAGCCTGGTTCCTGCTACACTACCCACACGCATGGCAAGTCAAGGACACGGCCACTACTACAGTCAGGGTGCCCTGGGGCCTCTGCTGTCTGCAGAGCATGGAGCACTGTACCCATATGAGTGTGTGCCCCACACAAGCAATGGGGCTTCTGGGCCTCAGCAGCACATTTTGATGGTGCTGAAGGAGATCCAGCACACAAAGATGATATTATCCTCTGCTGCTCCAACCATGTACAGTTCAGAGTCTACATAAGCCAACACTGAAATGCGTTATCCAGGTGGGTACTGACAACAAGAATGTAAAGGAATGTGGTTAGCACACTAAGGGGCTTGAATCAGCACCTTAGTCCTAAGTAAAGGGACAGACAGAATTTCTGTGCTGAGACTTCACCATCTTTATGACGCTCAATCCACTCCCAAGCTCTGCATGTAGGGAATGCAGGACATTGTAATGACCACCCCTGCTGCACTGAGGAGAACCCCAGCTGCCCACAATTTTATGTTGGCAAGGACAGAGTCATCTTCCAATATTTGCACCAGGAAATATGGTATTGTATTTCATAGTTCCTGTCCAATTCATGTGCCCTGGTGCCTGTCTTGCTCAAAATGAAAACATGAAATTCTTGTCTCTCTTGCTCCACGGTAGCAGTGTTCTTTACAAGGAAGAGAGGAGAAAGGACTGGGTGAATCTGATAGCTACAATTGATCAGGCTTATCACTGATTGTGAATATGTGAGGCATTTGCACATCTGTGTAAGTGTGTCTGTGTGGGCGCATATTTGTTGAGAGTGAGTGTGCTCTACTTATCATGGAGGCCAGGGACCTGTTCCTCATAAGCAATAACGTACCCCTGTACACCCAATCATTTTGTGCTTTGAAAACCACTTTCTTGTTCCTTTAAAGCAGAACAACACCAGAAAATTCAAAGTCAGGAAAAACAAATATGGGGCGAATAGCAGGAAAAAGGATAGCACATACCTCTTAGCTATAAACTAGTCCTGTCCATCATGATCAGAAAGAGCTAAAGGAAAAGTGGTGCTCCTCCTAGGGCTGCTGAAGGCTGCGCTGGAATAGATCTTCTTCCTTGTTTCATTTGCAGTGAAGGAAACTTATGCAGAGCAAGACAGATCCCTGGGATCAGAAGATCAGTTCCAGGGAAGTGGATGCTCCACAACTTCAAGATTTCATCCAGTCTTGCACAAGTAGATGTACTCAGTTGCTTCAGGTAAGCCCACCAAGTGAGTTTGATGATAATTCACGGAGAGTGACTCAAAGAATTCCATTCATCACATGATTTTGGATCGTACCTAGGAGCTACCAGGAGAGAAACACGGATAGTGTTAGAGGCAAGGATTCAAAGCCTATGAAAACCCACCTCATTTACACTGGTAATGAACACCTGCCTCTCCTCTCTTTACAGGACCTTGAACCTCCAGGCCTGCAGGCTTCAACTGAATGTGCCATCCCTGAACAGCTGGGTTATTCAGAAGGCCTTGGGAGAAAAGTCCACCTGAGTCCTCAGCAAGCAGGGACCCTTGAAAAGGGGATGGAGTGGAGCCCAGGACTCCAAACATCCCATAGCCATGGAAGCCCATGATGATGGGGCCATGGATGTGAATGAGGAACAAGAGAGTTCAGGAATGGAAAAGTGTCCCTGTCCTCAAGGGAGGGAGAGTAAAAGTAAGGCCTCAGAGCCCTTGGTTGTTGCCCCAGAAGCTAAGATCCATGTGAAGGAGAAGGACAGCCAGTTAGGGGGACCACAGGACCTTTGCAGTGTAGTGGCCAGTGGAAGGGCTCCTGAGGGCAACACAGAGAAGACACATAGAAAGTCTGCCAGAGCAGCCTCAGGCAGGCCCAACCAAGATAAGGGTTGTGGGCAAACTCAGGCCAAGAAGACCAACATAAAGTAGGCGGCAGAGAGAAGGCAGCCAACACCCCAAATCAAGGCCCAAGACAAACCAATTGCAAACAGGAAGCCCAAGAGACAGCCACCCGTGTTTGGCCAAGAGTCTTCAAAATGCCTCGCACCTCCCTAGGGATGCACATGCTAGAATCCGTGCAGGTTTTCCACCCATTATGGAAGAAGCTAGATAAGAGAGCTGGGCCTATTTCCTCCCAGGCGCTGGAAATATCCAATGACCCCAAAGTTGACAAGACTTCGCAAGCCTCCAAACCATGGCCAAGGGCCCCACATGTGGGAAAGGGGACTGAAAGAGCTAGGGACAACTCCCAGAACCTGCAGAAGCCTGCTGGGACAGAGGACTCAAATGCAACCCTTTGTGAGCGCCCACCACCTGGGCAGGTGAAGTTAATACCTTTGCAGTTTCCGAGTCCTGCAAAGCATCAGGAAAAGCCTGTCTATAGAAAGCCACGGGATTTTTCTTCAAGGAGACCCACTGTAGCTCAGCACACCGGAACTGCAGATACTAGCACAGCTCACCCATCCCAAAGAGCTTGTGCCAACCCTTCTCTGATGTGCACTGTCAACCAGGCTCACACAATGCCAAATGGTACCTGCCCACCACGACTGACCACATCCACGTAGCCTGGACTTCCTCAGTCTGCAAGGTGTAAGCCTCCATGCCAGGTGACACCACTGATTGCCTCTCTCATAAGGGAGCCTGTTGCCTGTGCTGCCACTAAGCACAGGTCCCCACCTCAGCAGCGTAACCCATTTCTCCTGGAAGACTTCAGTTGCCAACCGATTCCCTGGAGGGAACCCAATGTGCCTGAGCCTGTCATGTCCAGCCCCATCACAGTGGAACAGAGGCCAGAGCACGAGGCCATGAAGAGGCAGGCTCAGCGACAGTGGGAATTGCAGCCCATAACACATCCTTAGGGAAACTGCAATTCTTTAAGCAGAGAGAGAGAGAGACCTGGAAATTGCCCAGTACTATGGGTATGCAAGATGGGAGACAGCAGCACAGTCCAGCCACTGTGGCCTCCAAATAGTTTTTCCCATAGATATGTAGATATAGATAAGTAAAAATTTGACGAATCTAATATTGTGCTGAGAGGGAACAGAACCACAAACTGCACATTTTCCATTGAACAAACATAAGTCCTCAGCAGAGGAATTCAGTAGAGCCCATAGATAGGAAATAAAAGTGGCCTTTTGAGTTGTGAGATGCTGCTGTTCCCTCTGGTTTCCTTTGGCACAGCTGGAGATGAAAGGGTCCATCAAATTGAGGAACTTAACACTCATTTGGGGAATATGGGCACACAGGTGAAGAAATGAGCAAAGAGACTTCAGATTTGAGACAAAATGGCCAGAGAAGTGAAATCACAAATACATGGATGGATCGCGTTCGGGTAAAATGATAGGGGACAGTAAATCTTCAGTTGTAGTGAGAAGGACAGGTTTGGGGTAAGGACCAGGATGCCACAAGATGGGGATAAAAGTACCATATTCCCCTTTATGTAAATTAGCCTCCTGCCATGTGACCCAGCAGCGGCCCTCTGATGTAACCTTCATCTCCAACGTTTGGGTCATGTAAAGCTACACAGGGAAAGTTGACGGCCAAACTCTGGTGAAGGTACAAGAGGGCATTGCGTGGGTTTGCAGAGGTCTTAAGGACAGCATGTAAATGAGCATCAGCAGCACAGGGCCCACCTAGAACTTGGTCCAGAATAGAAATCAAGGCATCCAAATTCTCCTTGGTCCAAGGTTGCAGAGGTGCATACTTAGCTAACCTGCAAACACACTAGTTCAGTTTCACTGTGTCCCTTTTTAAGCCACTTTAGCAGTGGTGTCTTATTTCTCTACCTTCAGAGCCAGTAAGGCGTCACTTTGTGCCCAGATCCCCCTGAAATCCTCACAGAATGTGCAAGTGCCAATACTCGTGTGTTCAACCTAGATTCCAAGGCCCTGCTTCCACATGTTTATAAGATCAAACTTTGTAGTTGGAAATCTAGAATCCAGTTTGGGCCTGCTTCTCTGAGATCTGACATGTGCCACCTTCTGAAATGGCAGCCATCAGAATTGGGTAGTCAGGATATTCAGACTCAGTTTCAGGGCAGAAGAGCACAGCAACATCCTCAGGCAGCTCAGGATGGAAGCACCAAACTTGCAGATGTGTTTCTTTAGAATGCTGGAAGACTGGGTCAAAATCATAATTTGGGAGTTGAGCTGGAGGGTGGGAATTGGGGGACAGAAATGGAAAGGAGTGGGGTCATGTGCTTGAGGGCAAAGGACCCACACTGTGGGATTCTAGTAATTTAGATTTTGAAAATACAGTCTTCAGCGGGAATTCTCCCTCTGAAATTCACTTAAAAATGCAATCCACTGGCATTCACTGTGCCATGAAGTTTGTAGCATTTTCATGATCTCAAGAGGAAACCCTAGTAACCCATTCCCAATCTCAACCACAAACCTCTCCACGTGTTCCTACCTACAAACTGTCCACACCTAGAATCACACAGCTGTCACAGGGTTGATCTGGAGTCTTTCCTCAACAGCCTATTTTCTAGGATTGTCTCCATTTTGGGCTCCACCTGCCTAAATTTTCACCCAGTTAATAGATTAGGCCATGGACAATATCAAGCACTTTTCAGGACCCAGAGGAGTGACTTGGGAGATGGGTGTTGTCCTTCAACTAAATTAGACTTCCAAAATCACAGGCTCTCATTATAGAAGAATCGCAAATACCAGAGGATATTTAAATAAAATAGAGTGTTCCTACTTTACCAACTTCCCAGCCGTGATCTTCATAGCTCTCTAGGGCACATACACTTTGAACACTTAATCCATTCTGCTCGAGTAACTGTAGACTCATCCCGCCATGTGCACCTACACAACTGATGTGAAAGTTTAACCACTTACTGATGGACAAAATTCGTTTGTGCATTTTTGTTAATATTACAGAGATAGTGAGGGACCCTTCACATTTCCTGTTTCTTTGAAACACTTTTTCTCAATTTTGAGAGCTATGTCCCAGAGCAATTTACCTAGGCATCCCTGCTAGGTGACCACCTACAAAAGGCTTCAATGTCTAGATTTTGCAACCCAAAACTCAGCTCACACACATTGCACTCATTAGGAATCAAGACTGGCTCACAACCATATAGAACAAGTTATAGCATAAAATGTCTCCTTAGCCACCATGCTTCAGTATATTATTTGCACAGGTTACATCCAGGTAATTTTAATTCTCGGAATTTGTTTTCCAGAAAGAGCTGGCCACTATGATGCAACAATGATTGTAAAATTCCATCCCAATTTTGCAAGCAACATTGCCTTTGCACTTCACTGTGCATAACACAGTCACCACTGAATGTTTGGGACAGGGATTCTTTGGAAGTAATCCTAGTCGGTTCCATTAGTGTAAAAGAATCTGTTCATTGTTTCAAAACCTTGTCAGGCACTGCTTTCCCTGGTTGCTGTGTTTCCGCAACATTAAGGTTTGCTGACAATGAATTGCTCCACAGGCTCTGTAGGCCACCATTTGGCCCAGCATGAGGCAGGTATCTCTAGTTCCTTCAACTGGATGTCTCTCCCTGGAGATATCTTTGGAGTACCTTTGGAGGCTTGGAAGTAGGGCCATTGCTTGATGCTATTACTCAGAGATCCAGGAAAGGGAAATGATGCAGTAGTGTCTATTGATCAGATGACATAAGAGCATGGAGTACCTTACTCACTCTGTCATTCCTGTTCACCTTAAGAAGGAGAGTTTGAGCACTACTCTTTAGTCAGGGCCGCCTCCATGGGACAGGGATTCGAATGCTTAACCTTTGAATGCTGGTTGAGTGAGTGTGTTGAACATTTGTGCTTCACAGTGAACTACAGAGTCTATTCAGTGTGCTGATTGGGCCCTAATGTCTAGTTTGGTGGATGTGTTTATAAGGGCACAGTGGAGACTCCATTCATGAACTCCTTCTTAGTGCAGATGGTCCCAACTTGCTAAGAGTCATATAGTCAGACAGGCATCATTTCTGGTCTCTCTCACTGAGGGGTGACCACACTTTGTTGTAGCTTCATTGAAAGGTACACCATACATATATAAGGAGTGTTAGGGGCAACAAGAACTAGCTGGTCAAATCCATTGTCTTTGACTGTACACTCCAAAATATTAGCAAGGACTTCTCTGGTGACTAAATATAGAGTTAAAAGACAGCCAAACAGCTGCTCAGGCCATCTGAAAAGAGATCTGAGAATTCCACATTGACATATGCCAATGAAGCTCACACTGGGCCACCTCGCCAAACACCTGAACCAGTTCCAGCCCACAGTCTGGTGTAGCCCCAGCAGCCAGTGTGCATGTGTACTGCCACAAATCTCAGTCTCTGAATCTTTTACTTCACAATTACCCTTACATGCCTAGCTCGCTCAGATGTCATCACTAAAGCCCACCCGAGATGATGGTCATCATTTCCTTCTGACTCTATTTAACACAGAAACGTTCTGACCAAGGAAAACAGTGAACACTCAATCCTGACAAATGGGTTGCTATTGCCTTTCCCAAAGTTGCCCTGCCCAGAAGCACAAAATGCAGCAGTAGGAAACAAAACAACCCCCTCAAGTGCTTCTCAAAGGCGTCAAAGGGGGTGGAAGAGGAATCATATCAATATGTCAGAAGTTACTACAGTTACCCAGAAGGCTCTTCTGGACCTTGAGACTTTCATGAGTGACTCTGTGTAGCTCATAAGGAGCCCATAATTAATTGACCCTGAGGGCTGTGAAAAACCACAGACGCTACATGCACCCATTATTAAGCAATAAGCATCTGATATCCACAAGAAAACTCAGTCTCAGACAGACCCACATCCTCTAGGCAATATGCAAGATGCATGAATCCAGCATAGGGGCAGTTATTCAACTGGGTGACCAGGATCCCATAGTCCATTATGTTCAACCTATGACCTTCCTGGGAGACAGCCAATCTATTGCCCTTTGTTCCGAACAAAAGTTATCATCACAGGGGCATCTGGACTTCTGGCCTCTCACATTGTCTGTTAGGCGCAAACATGCAGTGCCAGGGGACATCTCACCAAATATTAATTCATGTGTAGGCCAGATTGCTCCATACTCCTGCTGGGAAGAGATATCCCCACCAAGGTCATACCAACCATCACCAAGACAGCTGTTACTCTGATTGTTACTTGACAGGAAGCCTGCCTCAGTCAGAGACAGAAATCGCAATCCTGAAATTTGAAAGCCTTTTCCTTCATAGGTATGAGCCAAACATATGATTTTGAGCCTGGCAATAAACCATGCACCCATATTAAGTCCAGCCCTCATGACTCTCATTCCCGTCAGATAGTACCCTACATAACGTGAAACATAAGAGGAATCCAGCAACATGTCAGGAGTCCTTAAACAAGTCAGGATCACTGTAGACTGTCTACTAACTTGGGGTGTTCCTCCCCCCCCCCCCGTGAAGTAGCCCAGTGAAAATTCCAAGCCAGCGCATGCTCTTAATGCAACACCATGGACTCTGCAATTCGAAACCTATAGTCTTCTGAGCCGCCTCTTCAAGATGACACCTGATACACTTTCTTGGATTTAAAAAAGACTCTGTTCTCTTCATGGGTTGGCACCTGTCAGACACCCTCTCTTGACTTTTAAATGGAAAGACCACAGTTCTCATCTTCAAAGTTGACTGAGGTGCACTCAATTTGCCAGAGGGGTGAAAACGATCTTACCCTCTTTGCAGGAGCCCCCATAGCTGAGTCCTCTAGTTTTCAGCACAATATCCTTCTTGAAAAAACATAAAAACTTTCCTGAAATATTTCAAATCAGGAACACTATGTCCTTAGAGCTGCTCCATTCTGGTCTCAAATCAAGAAAATCTTTGAAACTGCTGAATCTGTATCTCAGGGTTCAAAAAGAGGAACGCCCATGTATGATGCCATGTGTGCAAAGGAATCTGGTAGCATTTGAGTGGAACTGAAAGCAAGAAAGGACTTCAATGTTATTAAAAAGCCCTTCGCCACTGTCCAAACTTTGGGAATTTCAGATGTAAGTGGAATTCAA